GCCTATGGGCTGCGCCATTTCTTGTTCTCTATTTGAGACTTTTAGTTCTTTTCTTGAATGGGCGGTTAGGGATGTTTCTGGGCTCGCATCTGTCATCCATTATTTGGATGATTTTTTGTGTATTGGCCCTCCGGGTAGTTCCATCTGTGCGTCGCTACTAAGCACGGTGGAACATGTGTTTGAGCATTTTGGCGTTCCTTTGGCTTCGGATAAGACGGTGGGTCCGACAACGGAATTGTGTTTTTTGGGAATTATTGTTGATACGGAGGCCATGGAATGTCGTTTGCCTCAGGATAAATTGGAGGAGCTCCGGGGTTGGTGAGTTCGGTGGGTCAGTGCAGGAAGATTAGGCTTCGGGAATTGCAGTCGTTACTGGGCAAGTTAAATTTCGCTTGTCGCATCATGCCCATGGGGCGTATATTTTCCAGGCGTTTGGCGGCTGCCACGGCTGGTGTGGCGGCCCCGCATCACAGGGTTCGGCTGCGAGGTGAGCTACGGGATGATTTGGGGGTATGGAGGTCGTTTCTCGATTCCTATAATGGAAGATCACTTTGGTTGGATGGGGTCGTGTCCAATTTTGATTTGGAACTCTCTTTACGGATGCGGCGGGGCTCGGCCGGTTTTGGGGCCTATTTTCAGGGTCAGTGGTGTGCGGGTTCGTGGCCTTTGCAATGGCGGGAGGTGGGACTGTTGCGCAATCTGACCTTACTGGAGCTTTTCCCCATCGTTTTAGCTGTTTCTTTGTGGGGGGTGCTGTTTTCCGGAATAAACGGATTCGTTTTCATTGTGATAATTTGAGCGTGGTTCATGCCATTAACCGTGTTTCGGCCACGTCTCGGCCAGTGGTTCGTATGTTGCAGCGGTTGGTTTTGGACTGTTTGAGTCTCAATTGTTTTATTTCGGCTGTACATGTTCCGGGTGTGGATAACTCAGTTGCTGATGCTCTATCTCGTTTTCAGTGGACAGATTCCGTCGGTTGGCACCAGAAGCGGAGCAACGCGGTATCGATTGTCCGGATCACTTGTGGAGCATTGCCTTGCCTCTTCAGCGGCCTTGATTCAGACATCAGTTTGCGCGTCCACTTGGGTTTTCTATGAGAAGGTGTGGCGGGAATGGCTGGAGCTGGTGAGTGAGGTGGGGGGTGGTTTAGGGGTGGATGATGCCCTATGCCTCCTGCTTTATTTCATCGGCAGGAATTTTGAAAGGGGTGTTTCCGCAACTTTGATGTCTCGCAAGCTGGCAGGGTTGGCTTTTCATTTAAAACTGCCGGGGGGTCGTGACGTGACGAAGGATTTCCTTGTTCGGCAGGCTATGCGGGGGTACAGAAAAGGCCGTTCCATCCCTGATTCTAGACGGCCGGTTTCTTTTGAGGTTCTTCAAGTGGTGGTTGGCCAGTTGGATTGTATTTGTTCCTCGTTGTATGAGGCGATTTTGTTCCGTGCGGCTTTTGTGCTGGCATTTTTTGGGGCCTTTCGGTTGGGGGAGTTGGTTAGTTGGACTAAGTGGGGCGAGGGTGGTTTGGCCGTAGATGAGGTGGTCTTGCTGGGTAGTGGGGTGCGAATTTTTCTGCGCAAGTCAAAAACGGACCGTTTGGGTCGGGGTACCTGGGTGGAATTGGCTGAGATTCCGAGTTCTCGGATTTGTCCGGTACGGGCGGTTAGGGAATTTCTCGAGGTGAGACCTGACCTTCCTGGGGTTTTCTTTTTGCATACGAATGGGATGGCGCTGTCTCGATTCCAATTTGGGGCAGTGTTTAAACGGTGTTTGCAGTCTGCCGGGTTGGGTGTGGAACATTACTCGTCTCATTCGTTTCGCATTGGGGCAGCTACGGAGGCCGCCCGCTGGGGGTTAGGTGATCAAGTGGTTCGTCGGATTGGGCGTTGGGATTCGGATAGGTTCAAGTTATATGTGCGTCCTCAGTTCTTGTGATTAAAAAAAAAAGAGTTTTTGGTGTTGTTGTGTTGGTCTCTGTGGTACTTGTATTTTGTTAACTTTGTGTTTTGTTTGTTTTGTGGGGGCCTTTGTGGTGAAGGTTCTACCTCCTCCCTTCTTTTGTGTGTTTCTTTGCAGGTTCCGAAGGCTGCTTGGTATGGATCTTGGGCCATTCATATGTTTTTTGGGGGGCTAAGAGGGCGGATGTTCGTCCAGAGGGTCGGCAACTGGGATTTGAGAGGGGGGGAGGCGAGGCTTCGTTGGCTTGGAGTGCCGGGAATGTTGTGGTCCAGGGTGGTCCCCCGGAAATTCATCACTATTCCTGTTTGGACCGGCCTCCGGATGTTTTGGTATTGCATGTGGGGGGTAATGATCTCGGGTTGCGCTCCATGCGGGAGGTTATCCGGGACATCAAGTTTGATTTTTTGCGGATTCGGTCTTTTTTCCCGGACACAGTGCTGGTATGGTCGGACATAGTGGCCCGTGCTTATTGGCGTATGGCCCGTTCCGTCGAAAAAATTAATAGGGCTCGAGTTAAGGTGAAAAAGGAGGTGGCGCGTTTTGTGGTGAGGAATGGTGGCCTAGCAGTCCGTCATAGGGAGCTGGAGGAGGAGTCCTGGCGGTATTTGCGCTCGGATGGGGTGCATCTTAATGCAGTTGGGATTGATCTGTGGTCCTTGGGCCTGCAGGATGGTATCCAACGTGGATTACGTGTGTGACGGGCTACACGAGTGTAAGGGTTCACACTCGTGTGCTGTGGCAGGGGTCGATGGGTCTTTGAAGGCGGTGGTGGAGTGACAAGTTGAGGAATTATGGGTTGGGCCCATCGTAGGTATGGGTGTCCCTTCCCAATAAAAGGTCATACTGGTAATGTGGGAGTTCATTTGGCTGTATCTGGGTTAAGTAACAGTAGTATTGTCCCCGAGGCGGTGTAGTAGCGGCTGGGGGCCTTTCATTGAGTAATAGATACAGCCGAGTTGGTGATGGGAGTAATGGTGCCTTCAGAGACCTTGGACCCGGGGTGTAATGTACTAAGATATTATGTTGAGTTAGTTTATGTTAAATAAATGGCTGCTATGGCCGGTTTTACACCAAAAAGTGAGTTGCGTGTTTATTTGAGGGGGAAGGTTTTTGAAGGGGTGGTGGTGTGTTAAAAGGGGGTAGGGAAGTATTAGCCTCGGGATTCTGCAAGTCCAACAGTCAAGTCAGGGCCTGGACTGAGCGAAGTATAAGGGAGGGCCAGCATGACTGGGGCGTGCAGACGAGGCAGAGAGTGTAATTGGGTGGAGTATAGGCAAGGAAAAGGGGATGGGGGGTGGTTACTTACTTGATTGGTGTAGGCAGCATTGTGGGTGGTCTTGCAGGTTTTGAATTGGGGGGTTGTGTCTTGTCGGAGTCAGTCGGAGCTTGTGCCATCACGGAGGTGGTTTCTCCCGCCCTCCCGCCCTGAAGTTGGTTGTATTCTGTTTGTTGTGTTGGTTATAGTTTTGTCATTGTGTTTGTTCTGGTGTTGTTTTTTTGTTGTTTGGTGGTTGTTGTTCGTGGTGTTTGTTTTATGTGGGTTCATGGTGTTTGTTCAAGGTTCAGGATAGCTGTTGTGTCCTGAAGTGTTTGTTCGTTTGTCATGGCAGCTGGCAGGGGTCGATGGGTCTTTGAAGGCGGTGGTGGAGTGACAAGTTGAGGAATTATGGGTTGGGCCCATCGTAGGTATGGGTGTCCCTTCCCAATAAAAGGTCATATTGGTAATGTGGGAGTTCATTTGGCTGTATCTGGGTTAAGTAACAGTAGTATTGTCCCCGAGGCGGTGTAGTAGCGGCTGGGGGCCTTTCATTGAGTAATAGATACAGCCGAGTTGGTGATGGGAGTAATGGTGCCTTCAGAGACCTTGGACCCGGGTGAATGTGCTAAGATATTATGTTGAGTTATGTTAAATAAATGGCTGCTCACCAAAAAGTGAGTTGCGTGTTTATTTGAGGGGGAAGGTTTTTGAAGGGGTGGTGGTGTTAAAAGGGGGTAGGGAAGTATTAGCCGGGGATTCTGCAAGTCCAACAGTCAAGCACTTGGCTAGAGATATATAGATAGATAGATAGATAGATAGATAGGTAGGTAGGTAGGTAGGTAGGTAGATAGATAGATAGATAGATAAATAGATAGATTAAAAAGGATAGATATACACTATATTGTCAAAAGTATTGGGCCACCCCTCCAAATCATTGGATTCAGGTGTTGCAATCACCTCCATGGCCACAGGTGTATAAAATAAAGCACCTAGGCATGCAGACTGCTTCTACAAACATTTGGGGCAGCACAGTGGCTAAATGGTTAGCACTTCCACCTGGCAGTACTAGGGTTGTTGGTTCAAATCCCAGCCACGGCACCTCCTGCCTGGAGTTTGCATGTTCTCCCTGTGCCTGCATGCGTTTCTTCTGGATACTCCGGTTTCTTTCCAAACTCCAAAGACATGCTGGTAGGTTAATAGGATCCTGTCTAAATTGGCCCTTGTATGTGAATTAGGGACCTTAGATTGTATGCCCCTTGAGGGTTAGGGACTGATGTGAATGTACAATATATACCATATTTTTCGCTCCATAAGACGTCCCCCAAAAAAAGGGGGGAAAATGTCAGTGCGTCTTATGGAGCCAATGTAAAGTGGCCGGTCTGGTATTTCTGCCGCCACCATGTCAGAATATTGGGCCGGCCGCTTAGCTCTTCTCTCCTGCAGGACCTTACCTGTTCCTCGCTCCAGCGCTGCAGTCTTCCCGCGGCGGCTTCTGTGACAGCCCACTGCGCATGCGCGAGAAGCGCCGCGCTTTGTGAATGGTCCGGTGTCTTCTGGGACACATGGCAGGTCCCAGAAGGCTCCGGGCCATTCACAAAGTGCAGCGCGCTTCTCGCGCATGCGCAGTGGGCACCCGGCTGTCACAGATGCCGCCGCGGGAAGAAGAAGGAAGGACAACTCCGTGGAAGTGTCAAATTCAGGTACCCATTCCCCATCCCTCCCCAAAGGTCCGCAGTCTCTGTTAATCTCCTTTACTGTCTGCAGTCTCTGGTCATCCCCTGCACTGTCTGCAGTCTCTGGTCTTCTGTACTATGTCCGCAGTCTCTGGTCATTCCCTGTACTGTGCCCGCAGTCTCTGGTCATTCCCTGTACTGTGTCCGCAGTCTCTGATCATTCCCTGTACTGTGTCCACAGTCTCTGGTCATTCCCTGTACTATGTCCGCAGTCTCTGGTCATCCCCTGTACTGTGTCCGCAGTCTCTGGTCATCCCCTGTACTGTGTCTGCAGTCTCTGGTCATTCCCTGTACTGTGCTCGCAGTCTCTGGTCATCTCCTGTCCTGTGTCCGCAGTCTCTGGTCATCTCCTGTACCGTGTCCGCAGTCTCTGGTCATCCCCTGTACTGTGTCTGCAGTCTCTGGTCATCCCCTGTACTGTGTCCGCAGTCTCTGACCATCTCCTGTACCGTGTCCACAGTCTCTGGTCATCCCCTGTACTGTGTCCGCAGTCTCTGGTCATTCCCTGTACTATGTCCGCAGTCTCTGGTCATCTCCTGTACTATGTCCGCAGTCTCTGGTCATCCCCTGCACTGTGTCCGCAGTCTCTGGTCATCCCCTGTACTGTGTCCGCAGTCTCTGGTCATCCCCTGTACTGTGTCTGCAGTCCATTGGTTCAGAATATTTTTTTTCTTGTTTTTCTCCTCTAAAACCTAGGTGCGTCTTATGGTCAGGTGCGTCTTATGGAGCGAAAAATACGGTATTTAAAGCGCTGCGTAAATTGACGGCGTTATATAAGTACCTGAAATAAATAAACATTTGTGAAAGAATGTTTCTACCTGTGCAATAAGTCCATCCGTGAAATTTCTTTGCTACTAAATATGTCCAAGTCAACTGTTAGTGATATTATATAACAAAGTGGAAGCACCTGGGCACAACAGAAGCCATAAAGTGGTAGGTTATGTAAAATGACAGAGCTGGGTCAGTGCATGCTGAAGCGCACAGTTCTCAGAAGTTGCCAAATGTCTGCCAGAACTGTCAGAAGTTGCCAAAAGTGAATAGCTAAAGACCTCCAAACTTTGTGTGACCCTTAGATTAGCATAACAACAGTGTGTAGAGAGCTTCATGGAATAGGTTTCCATGGCCAAGCAGCTGCATCCAAGTCATACATCACTTAGACGGCCGATAAACGAAAAATCAATTGGCGCCTTTGCCGATGCTGCCACCATCGTCCATGAAAAACAGCCATTTTTCATGGATTTTCCAGCATGACCGATAAAAGTAAACGAGACGATCCACGAAAAACGGCCGACCCATCTATGGCCTGCATAAGTGCAATGCAAAGCATTGGATGCAGTGGTGTAAAGCACGCTGCTACTGGGCTCTAGACGTGTTCTCTGGAGTGAAAACGTGGGCGTGTCTGGGCTTTGGCGGTTGCCAGCTGAATGGTACTTGCCTGACTGCATTGTGCCAAATGTAAAGTTTGGTGGAGGGGGGATTATGGAGTGGGGTTGTTATAAAAGGGGTTGGGCTTGGCCCCTTACTTCCATTGAAGGGAACTCTTAAGGTACCAAGACATTCTGGACAATCTTCATGCTCCCAACTTTGTGGGAAAAGTTTGGGGATGGCCCCTTCTTGTTTCAACATGATTGCACACCTCTATAAAGACATGGATGAGCAAGTTTGGGATGGAGGAATTAGCCTGCACAGAGTCCTGACCTCAGCCCGACAGAACACCTTTGGGATGAATTAGAGCGGAGACTGTGAGCCAGGCCTTCTTGTCTGACATCAGTGCCTGACCTCACAAATGCACTTCTGGAAGAATGGTCAAACATTCCCATAAACACACTCCTAAATCTTGTGGACAGCCCTTCCCAGAGGAGTTGAAGCTGTTATAGCTGCAAAGGGTGGGCCAACTCAATATTGAACCCCACGGACTAAGACTGGGATGCCATTAAAGTTTATGTGCGTGTAAAGGCAGGCATCCCAATACTTTTGGCAATACTGTATAGTGTAGATAGATAGATAGGAGGAAGGGAGGGAGAGAGTCTGATTACAGTGCTCACTCACATGGATGGTCTCCGGAGGCTCTACTGGCTCAGTCAGAGGAATCACGTACTGTACACAATACAGCTACTGGCTGCTCTGTTTAAAATCTCCTGCTAACACATTTCCCTCACAGGGGAAGAGGGGCAGGGGGAGGCAGATCCAGCCTCTCTTCTCCCATTGGTGCGGAGGTAAGGGGGACTGTGCTGGCTGGCTGGTGGGTACTGTGAGAATGTAACAGACATGGATGTTTGGCAGAACCAATGAGGGCATCAGTGACCCCTGGGGGGACACAGCTGAATCCTGGGGCTCTCAGCCACCCCCAGCACCCCCCTAGATCCGACCGTGTGCTGCGCAATTTTAAAAATCATGACAGCACCATTTTGTGTGTTTCACACACATAAAGCAGCTTGTGAAAAATGGTGATGTTCGTGAACGTGCAAAAAATCTCAGATGCACCTCCTGGTATGAAAGAGCCCTCAGACTGGTGTGCACTGGGATTGTGCACAATTCTAAGGGGTGCCTTGACTGAAAAAAGGTTGAAAACTCTCATCTAGAGTTTCTTCAATTTCTGCTGAGGGCAAAGCTGCACTTTGCAAATATTGTGAGAAAAAATATTTTTTCTAAATGCTACAAAAATGACACAAAATATATCCTTGCATGCCAGAGGTGTCCTACAGACATTTAAAAAAGGGCAAATCTGGTTATTTCTTTATTTTGATGGTTTCTTTGCTTTTTTTTTGTTGCTTTTGAGGGAAAGGGGGTAGTTACTTGATCTCATGTAACATTTCTCAGTTGAAATGTCCTTAACACATAGAGTCCTTAGAATTCCATTTGTAATAAAAAAACTAATTAAAAAACACGGTTAGTTTATTTACTGAATAAGCTGTACTTTTATTTCAATACTTTTATATACACTGCATTTCACATTCCTAGTGTAACAAAATGACTTGCAATTTGTAAAACTACTCCACACAGAATTTTTACTCAGTTTATTTAAAATGTCCTTTTTTCCCCAGAACAGGGGAAAAATGTTTTGGCTATGCTTCAAGCAGAGAGCCATTATTTTCAGATGCCATCCTTAGCCACTCTTGCAGATTGGCTTCATAAGCACAGAGCTTATGAGCTTGGCCCTTTAGACCTTACCAGGAATAAAATGTTATATACTACCCAAACATTTTTGGGCAAAGGAATAAAACAGGTCATATTTGGCCTAGTTAGCAAGAGTAATATCCCACTTCCATATCTTCTATACAAACTGGTACAGGTCATTTGGGTTCATCTCCAAATTAGATTCTAGATGCCTTCACGTCTTTCTATTCTTCATATACCTCTACTGTAGATTATACTGACGCATGCTTGTCTGTATTCCTTCCTCCACTGTAGCCACAATGCAGGAGGGAATTAAATGCTCCCATTACCACTGAAGAGATAAGGTTGGCCATTTTGCAACTTCCAGTTGGCGACTTATGCGCACAGTGCAGTTCAGCATGCGCTGACCTACTATGTCATTTTACATTGTGTCTGAGCTGCTGTTGAGCCCAGTTGCTTCCACTTTGTTATAATACAACTAACAATTGACCGAATTTAGTAGCAAGGAAATTTCATGGATGGACTTATTGCACAGGTGGCAACCTATCATTGTATCATGCTTGAATTCACTGAGCTCCTGAGAGCGACCCATTCTTTCACAAATGTTTGTAGAAGCAGTCTGCATGCCTAGTTTCTTGATTTCATACACCTGTGGCCATGGAGGTGATTGGAATATCTGAATCCAATGATCTGGAGGGGTGCCCCAATTCTTTTGTCAATATATTGTAATGTAACACCCTGCTGTAGTACTGCTTGCAGGATGTTAAATGGACACAAGATGGCAGTGTCCTGCAGCCCAGTTGCTCAGACTCTGTTGGAAAGCTTTGTTTGTATTCACAGGCTGGCCATAGAACTTTGCTCTTGGACAATGAGCTCACAAAATACATTTCCCAGAGGAGCTGGTATGTGTGCACAGGTAAATAAACACAGAAGCCCGGAAACAGGCAGTGAGAGGGGGAAAGCTGGAAAGTAGAAGTGAGGAGAAGGCTGTGCAGGACGCTGGAGAATCATGCTGGGCCACCAAGAGAAAGAGTGGAGAGAGAAGGAGGAATTGCTGACCGCTGACACTGCTGACGAGTCTGGTGAACTGTCCTGCAGACAGGCAGTCCAGAGTGGTGCTGTCCGCAGTGGTCTCTGAAGGAGGAACTGCAGGAAAACTGGGGGCTCCCAGATACAGAGAGATCATCAGCTCCCTGATCGACGTCATGGTTTGGATGAGACAGTTCCATTCTCAAGCCATTCAAGTTGCCAATAATCTTATTCAAGTCTGCCTCTTTCTCCCTAGTTCAATTGACACTGTTCACAAGTTACACATGTTAAGGCCTAGTTCACCTGGCTTACTAGTTATTACACCTTCAACATAATCCAATCACAAGAGCCTACTGCAGTGTCTGCCCTCCACAGGTTAATCCACATTATTGCTTCCATCACATTCGCCAAGGTGCTCCTTCATTGTCTACAGAAAGGGCTTGTGTTCATTCTTTAATCCCTACCTAAATTTACATCTTACCCTTTGTGTGTTAAAGGGGTACCGTCCAAGCTCCATACCACTTAAGTGGCAGCTCCTTTCCTTTGTAGTCACCCTTTATCAAGGAACTTCTACCCTTTGCTTTCAGTGAGATTTGGATTCTTAAAGTGCACCAACCCAGGCCCCATCAGGACCATTTGAAGACTTTATACTGCAGTTTAAAGGGACATTAACCTATTTAATCTAAGAGCTCTTTCTTTGCCTCAAAATTGAACTCTGGCATCAGCCTTTGAGAGCCCAAAGTGAGTTAGCCGCACTGTTTGTAGATTTTTTCTGCTCACTGGGGAAGGTAATATCTCAGGACTGAGGCTACTGGTCAAATTCTGAATTGAAGAAAATCTAGAACTGGTTGAGATTTTGCTGTATGTTGACCTTTACTTGAAGTAGCTAAGAGTAATAGCTGCTATTACATGCACACACTTGTTTTTTTATGCTGCTTTGTTGTGCTCTCATTTGATATCAATATAATCAAAATTGCAGTTCACTCTAAATGTATGCGAGTCTGTTTTCTGGTGGCAGCCAAAGGGTTCTTCTGGCCAGAAGACTACAGTGCTGTCAGCAGGGATTGGGCTTTCAGAGAGGGGTCAGACAAGACAGGGAACCCAAAAATTACTCAGCGACCTCTAAGGGGATAGTGCTACACATACTTAAAGCCCTGATAGATTGATTTTTGGCTATTATTCTACACTTTGTGCTGTGTCAAGACCTAGATGCTTACAGGTCCAACTTGGATCTCGCCAGACCTCCCCCCTGAACAAGATGGGTCAGAATTCAAGTACACCTATACCATATGGGTTATCTTCTCCAGAGATAGAATTATTCATCTAGAGATATTCCACTGCAGCTATCTCACTCATGCCAGACTGCATAGAGTGGGCTTACGCCAAAAAGCAGACTGCTTCAGTGGCTGTGGAATGCCTGGTGATTTTTTCATTGTGTGGAACTTCCCGCTCGGCTTTCTGGTCAGAGGTGAACATTTTTATTTATACTGCCTTGGCCTTGTCTAATGTCTTGCCTAATGTACTTGGGATCTTTGGTGATTTGCAAGCATCCTAAATATGATAAACGCTTGTTTTGTAATCTTTACTTTTATGACAAAAAGGTGATCCTACTGACATGGAATAGCAATTCCACTTTTAATAGAAACTTGAAAGAGTTTGATAGATGGTAATCTCCCGTTATACAGGTGAAACTCGAAAAAGTAGAATATCGTGCAAAAGTTCATTTATTTCAGCAATGTAACTTAAAAGATGAAACTAATATATGAGATAGACTCATTGCATGCAAAGCAAGATAGTTCAAGCCGTGATTTGTCATAATTGTGATGATTATGGCTTACAGCTCATGAAAACCCCAAATCTACAATCTCAGAAAATTAGAATATTACAAGCAATCAATAAAACAAGGGTTGTACATAGAACAATATCGGACCTCTGAAAAGTATAAGCATGCATATATACTCAGTACTTGGTTTGGGCCCCTTTTGCAGCAATTACTGCCTCAATGCAGCGTGGCATGGAAGCTATCAGCCTATGGCACTGCTGAGGTGTTATGGAAGACCAAGATGCTTCAATAGTGGCCTTCAGCTCTTCTGCATTGTTCGGTCTCATGTCTCTCATCTTTCTCTTGGCAATGCCCCATAGATTCTCTATGGGGTTCAGGTCAGGCGAGTTTGCTGGCCAATCAAGCACAGTAATCCCACGATCATTGAACCAGGTTTTGGTGCTTTTGGCAGTGTGGGCAGGTGCCAAGCCCTGCTGGAAAATGAAGTCAGCATCCCCATAAAACTCGTCTGCTTAAGGAAGCATGAAGTGCTCCAAAATTTCCTGGTAGATGGCTGCGTTGACCCTGGACTTAATGAAGCACAGTGGACAAACACCAGCAGATGACATGGCTCCTCAAATCAACACAGACTGTGGAAACTTCACACTGGACTTCAAGCATCTTGCAGTGTGTGCCTCTCCATTCTTCCTCCATACTCTGGGTCCTTGGTTTCCAAATGAGATGCAAAAGTTGCTCTCATCAGAAGAGGACTTTGGACCACTGAGCAACAGACCAGGTCTGTTTTTCTTTAGACCGGGTAAGACGCTTGTGACGTTTTTTGTTGTTCAGGAGCGGCTTGACAAGAGGAATACGACATTTAAGCCCATGTCCAGGATCCGTCTGTGTGTGGTGGCTCTTGATGCACTGACTCCAGCCTCAGTCCACTCCTTGTGAAAGTCCCAAACACTTTTGAATGGCCTTTTCCTGACAATCCTCTCCAGGCTGTGGTCAACCCTGCTGCTTGTGCACCTTTTTCTTCCACACTTTTCCCTTCCACATAACTTTCTATTAATGTGCTTTGATACAGCACTTTGGGAACATCCAACTTCTTTGGCAATTATCTTTTGAGTCTTTCCCTCCTTATGGAGGGTGTCAATGATGGTGTCAGGTCAGCACTCTTTCCCATGATTGTGATTCCTACTGAACCAGACTGAGAGACCATTTAAAGGCTCAGGAACCCTTTGCAGGTGTTATGGCTTAATTAGCTGATTAGAGTGGGACACTTTGAGCCGAGAATATTGCACCTTTTCACAATATTCTAATTTTCTGAGATTTTGGATTTGGGGTTTTCATAAGCTGTAAGCCATAATCATCACAATTATGACAAATCAAGGCTTGAACTATCTTGCTTTGAATGTAATGAGTCTATCTCATATATTAGTTTCACCTTTTAAGTTGCATTACTGAAATAAATGAACTTTTGCACGATATTCAAACTTTTTGAGTTTCACCTGTATAAGTTAACTTTTGAACTTAGTAAGAAACCTCTGACCTTCAATAGGGCGTGGAGTCGATAGGTTGACCGTCTCCTCACCACAACCTCTTCAGATTCAGGATTGTAACAACACTTATCTCCTCTCTGTATGGGTTACTCTGTATTAATGCTTGCTGTTTGTGGTACCCTTTATGTAACTGCGATTGTATTACTTCTATAGGGATATGTCTAAGTATAAGAGACTATTGTTTTTATTAGGGTTCAATGGAGCTGCTGTGTATTTTTTGTTTAATTACCTACAAAACTTAAAAAAGATATCTTTAAAAAAGAGAGATTTCATTCTTCACTTTGAGGCTAATTCCCCAGTGACTCACAGGTCTGTTTGGCTTATGATTTATGTTGGGGTTTTATTTAAAATCAATAAGGCTTCATGTACACTGGAACATTTATACTATTGGCAGCAATAAAACGGTGCCTCGTTTAGCCACGTTTAGCCACGTTTAGTACTTGGACGTTTATTCATTTCATTGGCCAGAGTACTTGCCACTGAAATGAATAAATGCCCAAGAGCTAAATACGGTTAGCGCTTAGGCACGTTCATATGTATTTTTGCCGTGTTTAGTGTTTTTTGGTCAAAACATTCCTTTCCTGAACTCAATTCTTTTGTGTTCAGGAAAGGGACGTTTAACTGCCCCTAAACTCTGCTGTTGCTAATCTCTGATAAAAGCCTATGTGTGCATGGACACATAAGCTTTTATTGAGTTGAGTTCAGGAGTTTTGGCAAAAAAAATGCCAATGCTCCTAAACTCACATTTAAGAGCAGCAGTGTGCATGAGGCCTAAAGATTTAGAATGTGATCAATAATTAGAAAATAGTTGCCTTGTCCTCAATTTGAATTAAAGAGACTTTGGGGCTGATTTATTAAAGGAGTATAAAGTGTTCACTTATCAAAGTGAATGTTTTTTTAGCTTAGTTATTAAAGTGAAGCATTATTCACAGCAAACACCCAACAATGTACAAGAAAATATCCATTTTTTTCCACACATTATTGTGTATTTAACATAGTTTCAGTTACTTCTTCAGAATATAGGACAATTTGTATTAATGATGAAAAAATGTATCAGGATTTTATGGTGGTGAAAATTCTAATAGGATTATGAGAAATATCAGGAAGTTTATGTCAGATGGTCCTGAAATACAGAAATATATTATATTTGACTTTTTAATTTTTCCTAAATAAGCATTTTACTTTTTTAAAATAATTGTTGGTTTAGCATGTTTTAAATTCCAGCTATAGTCAGTGTTTTGTCAACAGTAATCTGCAGTGGACATTGCACAGTAATCTTAAAATGTGATCAGGCTGGAGTGGGCATTTTGAGCATGACTCAGAAAAAAAACTACTATGGGTGGGCCATGGTAAGGCTTCTATAAAAGGACAGTTTGTTTTAATGACTAGACACAAAGCCTACAGAGCAAGAGCACACCTCTAAATCCCCCACTTAACAGCAACAATGGTTCACTGGACTGCTGAAGAGAAAGCTGCCATTACTTCCACCTGGGCCAAGGTTGACCTGGAAAATGACGGCCATAATGCCCTGAACAGGTAATAACACACACAGTCTTTTATTTGGTAGGCAGGACGTTTTTTTTATTTTAATTTAACCAATTTGATGTTTATTTTTCCTTCAGCTATTGATTCTTTTATCATCTCTCTCTCTCTCTCTCTCTCTCTCTTGCCGCTATAATGTACATATATCCTTGGCAATTTGTTTATGGCTGTCTTTTATTATGTATCAATTATGGCTTAAAAATGAATATGACTCATATGTATAATTTTTTATTTTATTTTTTATTTAATAGACTATTCCTTGTCTATCCCTGGACCCAGAGGTATTTCAGCAGTTTTGGAAATCTGTCCAGTTCTGCTGCCATTTCTGGTAATGCCAAGGTTGGCGCTCATGGCCAAGAAGGTACTCGGTGCCATTGGCAATGCCGTTCACCATCTGGATAATGTGAAGCATGTCCTGGCTGGCCTCAGCAAGCAGCATGCTGAAGAGCTCCATATAGATCCTGAAAATTTCAAGGTACAGGTCTAAAGTTAAATGGAATATATATTTTCTACACTTCATGTGGTATTTTTATGTCAGACTACCTAAGTATAACATTGGGAATGACATCATATATTAATTACTATATATAGCCTTATCTATTACAGCAGAGGTAATTTGTGAAATGCAGTAGAATGATTCAATTTATATTTACTGTACATTTAAGTGTATCTATACCCCAAATGTTTTATTTTGATGTTTGATAGAATGGGTAAAGGTTAGTACCCCTTTTAGATTTTACTGCTATCTGGGCTCTGTTAGATTTCCCCTCCTATTTTCTGTCCTGGCAACAACATTTTTACTAGACAGGAACTGAAGGAATCTGTCCAACGGAGCCTATGAATGCAGTTAAACCAGACAGGAGTACTAATTCTTCTTCATTTTATTCAAATATTTAAAAAAACTATGGTTATATACAGGGACGGACTCACCATTCGAGCACTCGGGCACCGCCCGAGAGCCCGGGGTCAGTAGGGGGCCCCATGAAATGCCCCTGGTACCTTTTTTATAGGCTTTTTGGATGTGCTTTGAGTGTGGGAGAGGACACAGGGGCCCCATGATCCCCTAATGCCCGGTGGCCCCATGAGTTGTCAGTCCTCCCCTGGTTATATATGTGCATTAAGTTAGAGTTGTCAGAAAAGTGAAAGATGATTCATGTAGCGTTACAAATAGGTTATTGCATCATTTTTTTTTCTAAACTTTTAATTGATTTGTTTTTTCCCTGTACATATGAATTTTGTCATACACTGGTGGGGGTCTCCTCACTAGTTAGTTGTACAATGTGACATTTATTTATTTCAGCCACTTGTATAGTGCTGTCAATTTATGCAGCACTTACATATATATTGTACATTCACATCAGTCCCTAACCCTCAAGGGGTGTACAATCTAAGGTTGTAAGCTGGCAAGTTGATTTTTGAACCCCACCCTTTTTTTATTTTTCCTTTATTACTGATGTACAATCTAAGGTCCCTAACTTACATTCATACATACACATACTACAGACAGGATCCAATGAACCTACCAGCATGTCTTTGGAGTGTGGGAGGAAACCAGAGTACCTAGAGAAAACCCACACAGGCACAGGGAGAACATGCAAACTCCAGGCAGGTGGAGCCATGGCTGGGATTTGAACCAGCGAGCCTAGTACTAACAGGCAGAAGTGCTAACCATTTAGCCACTGTGCTGCCCACACCCATGTTAACCTTTTCTGAAGCTACCACTAGGCTTGGAGCTACATTTGAAGCAAATGGGTTTCATTCTGAGCTGAGGAATTCCCAGTGTGGTAAGACCCTTGGAGCTGCTTAATGGCTATTATCAGTCAGTGATGGGGTAGACTTGTGGAAACAACTTCTGCTGCACAGAAGGACATATACAAAGGTCTTTCATTTTCTAGCTGTAGTACACAAATGAGCATACCTGACCAATTTATTTTACAATATAAAATAAGGCAGTAAAATATATATGGAAAAGAAAGTTCTTAAAGTTTGTTTCTGTATTTAATTGTAAAATATATAGTGAACATGTAACAATCAAAGTGAATATGCATCAATAAGGTCAACATGCATCAATACAAAGTCTCTCAAAATTAATCTCATCAACTTGAATAAGTGATTTCTTCTACTTGAATTTAGAACAAAACTTCTGTCTTCATACAGATTAAATCCTCCACCAAACAACCACCAGATGTGCCCTCACCTGGAGTTTTTGACCTTACATCATGTCAGGTCAAAAAACTCATGTGTCCCAAGAAGCGGACATGTATTGGTATAAGTAACCAGAGTTCAGGTTCTTCCTCCAGAGATCACTACTCTCTAAATCTCTCCTCCTCCACTCCACATATATGATATAAAAGATAGGAAACACAATAGTGCTTTATCCTTAAAATAATACAATTTTATTAAAAACTTAAACAGTGACCACTCACATTCTTTAGGTGCTCATCGCACCAGATATATTGCACATATAAAAACAACGTTGCAACCACAGGCATAGATATAAACTCTTCCACTCATCTGCTGTGATAGAGAATCAGTATGCGTAGTAAGCGTCATGATGTCATCTAGCCCCTCCCCTACACGGTGCGCCACAGGGTCACGTGCCTCCCTCAGGGGATTATGATTGGACACCACAATGCTCTGATAGTATATATATAGTGGCCCACGGACATTTTCCAGTAGTCCTCATGTGATTAACATTAACCAATTAGCCGCATTTTGAAATAAATGTGGCTGGTGTGAGCTGTTTTTATTAGTTATAGATGATTGATTTAACACGTTATTGCTTGTGAGAAATATCTATATTTTTGGGGGGTTGTTTCTGTATTTAATACTTGTTAATTTAATTTGCAAACTATCTAACATATTAAAATGTAATTGTCCTTTCTGTTCACAGCTTTTTGGTGAGGTGCTGATAATTGTTTTGGCCAGTAAGCTGGGATCTAAATTCACTCCTCAAGTCCAGGCTGCCTGGGAGAAATTCATGAATGTCTTGGTGGCTGCTCTGAGCCATGGCTACTTCTAAATGTCTGTGCCATTATTTTTTGGGAATTAAAAATAAAACATTTTAAAACCAATCTTCTATGTTTTTTTTTTGCTTTATCACTGCACAATTCTCTCTTAATTATAAACCGAGATGATATACACAAGCAAATATTTGAAACTACTGAAATAAAATAACATATATGAAATTCACCCTTACATATAATTGTCAGTTTAGTGTATGGAAGTGTGAGTTCTCATTTACACGGTTTATAATTATTATAGCCTTTTCTATGAAAAATCACAAGAACATTCGGGAGAGGAGCGTTTGAGCAGAAATAAAGTTTGATACGCCTAAACGCACCTAAATGTGTCTAAATGCTAGCTGCATTTGAGCACTAATGCATTCCAATGGCCAGAATAGATTAATATTCTAGCCAACGGAATCCATTAAAGCTCAAATGCTTGACACACCTAAATACGTGTGCAATACGCGGCTTTGGGTTCATTTTTTAAGCAGTGCTTTTATAGGAGAAAAGCGAATGCCCTGTGTGCATGGAGCCTAAATGTTTGTGATCAATCACTGGAAATGGAAAATAAATACTTGAAAAGTAAGCTTCTGTGGTTATTTCTTTATCACTGTGCAGGGTCTATCTTAATTATAAACAGGTGAAATACCTAGGCAAATATTTGCAACCATTTCAAATAAAATAATGTATATGACATTAATTGTTAATGGAACTGCAGTTGTACAAAGAACTGTACTAGAATGGGAAAACCAACTCAGTGCAAAGTTTGAAGCTGAAAAAGGTGCATTAGATTCCTTGTCACCTTTGCTGTCTGGAGGTTAAGCTCATTAAAGTGAATAGACTGCCCTATGCATGGAGCATGAAAACGTGCATAAGCACAACATCTGCTATTGCTTTATAGTAGTGTTATTGGGGGCTTTGTATATTGAAATATGATTTCTCATTTATAAAATGTATAATTATAGCCATTCCTGTTTGTTCCTAACCCATTACAAATAATTTATTATCCAAGTACTTAAACTTTACCACCCTATTAATTATTGTGTAGGTTATGTTATTAAATCATTTTGTTTCATTTTAGCTTTATACTGGAAAGTTTTCCAAACCATATAAGTAAAGTTGAGATGTGGAGGTAATGTATTGAGCAAAGGCCTGGAAGACTTGCCCATGTTGAATTTTGATTCTATCTGTAGAGAATTCACATATGGTACATCATCAACTCTTCCAATTTCTGCAAGTCTGTTTGAACCAAATCCTGAGGTCCCATGGACCCACCTCATATCCCAGTGCTGGGTGCTAGGAAGCTTGTTCCAGCACATGGTGCTGATATCTGGCTAGCACAGCTGCACATGAGAGACTTGTGCAATATATTCCCATTTTCTGTTTCATGTGACAAAAAAAAATCATATGACTCAGAGCTGTAAGGTAAGTTTGGGATAAGTTAGTGTGTTCTGAGGGTCCATGCTGGTATGAGGTCTGAAGGAGATTTGGAGGAGGAAGGGTAGAAGGGAGCGTGATCATTTGGGGTCTCTAGGGGAGTTTAAAGGGTGAACTGATCTGAGGTCTGAAAGTAGGTTTAAAGGGGGCTGATCTGGGGTTAACTGCAATGAGGAATTGTCACCTTCTGCAGTTCTCTGTTATTTTTACATTTCATTGTTTCACTGAGTTATTGTTCTAATTCTAGAGCTATAATGTCCCAGCTATGGGTGTCCTCCACAGCAGCTGTAATATCATTTGCAGCTTCACTGTCCCGCCCCTTCCTCTTTCCTTACCCAGTCATAGAACACTTTGCATTCTGTGAACCCTTTCACAAAATCTAAAGCTTTCTATGAATGGGAAGAGGATAAGGGGGCCAGGAAGAGCAGCTGCTGTATAGGGGATCTGTATTTCTCCTGTCAGAGTTCTGGAGTATAGTACAAGCTGTGAACCTAATAAGTGAGATCCAGGAGGTTTCATACACATCTCTGGACTTAATTCCTTTTATGCCAGAGGATATTAAATCCCTATTTTTGCTAGAGTTATGGGAGGGTCTGAAAGTTTAGGGAGTTCTCAGCTGAGGTCTAAATATTAAAGGGGCTGATCTGAGGACCGATTTTTAAGGAGGTATAGATCTGAGGTCTGAATGTTCAGGGGAAGCTGTCTACCACTGACTCTGGGGCATTTTTTCCTCCCAGCAATATTGGTGCATTTTTTTTTTCTTCTTCTGACCAACAATGCTGGGCATTTTTCTCCCATTTACCAATGACACTGAACATTTTTGCTCTCACTGCCTAATGACATTGAGTATTTTTCTCCCACTGACCAATAACAATGGGCATATTTTCTTCCACTTACCACCAACAATGGAGCGATTTTCCCTTTCCACTGACCAGCAATGTAAGGGGTATTATTATTTTAGGATAGGCTCATACCGAAAACATATGTAATGGAAGAGTTTTCAGAAATTTTAATTTGTCCAGAGATTAATGTGCATCTGTAAGAATTGTGTCTGCAAGTTAAGCTACCTGACATGTTGACTTTTTTCCACAATATGTTTATATCTGGGAATTCTTTGGAGAATGAAACTGGGTGTCACTCAGTCTGGATCACTGAAACGTTGAGACTGCAGGGCACAGCTCTGGAGATAGGATGAGTTTGCTGGAGGTGCTTTTATTTTTTTACAAAAAGCTGGGAAGAGCTGTATTTCTTTTTTTTTGAGTTGGGCTTTAAAGGATAGTAGAATACCACAGCAGAACAAGCAGCAACAGCAGCAAGCGACAATGATAATCAGAACTACAAAAGAAAGTTTTTTTGTTACAAAAAAGTTATACCCTCTTTGGTAAGGTTTGTGAATAAAGTTTAGTAAGACATCTATGAGCTGTCATTGAAAAAAACAGATGGTAGTCCTAAAAATGATGTTTCAAAGCTGAGATTGTAGGGAATTAATTGGTAAATTTATGTAAACTCTTGATAGCTGTACTATGGAAAATGTCTTCTGTGTTAGCTGGCTCTATCCCTTTGTGTTTGTCTGTCTCAGTGACAGGTGGTAATAAGACAAGTACAAGATAAATGGAGCTTGACTTAGGCTGCCCTTACATGGTTCATAAACAATTACCAGATTCCCCCATCCACACTTTCGGTGTGGATGAGGGAATCCTCCCTGCTGTGTTATCTTATTTGACAAAAGGGTGACTCCTTCACCTCCCTGCTGTCAGAATATACAGATTAGCATCGAATTGCAATTTTCGAGCAGTCCCATTCATGAGAGTGAGAGCTTGAATTCTTGTGTACAGGAACAGCCAAGCATAAATTGAAATTCGCCCAGTTCCTGCTGAACCATCCGAATTTTAATCCATGTATGGCCAGCCTAATTCCATATGTGAGTTAAAGGGAGATTCCGTTCTTCATTTTGTTGATAAAGACCCAGTGAATCACAGATCTGTATGGCTTATGATGTAGGCTGGGGGTTTAAATCAAGGGAACTAAAGTGTACTCAAACCTACTGTACAGGGCACCAGGGACGGGTCCTGAAAGGTAGGCAAGCTTCCCCATTATTTGGGTTGTGGCACCTTTAAGGGGAAAAACTGACTTGCAGTTATCCGATGTCCTTACAGTATATGGGATCCAGAATTTGAAGGCTCACAGAGGCTGTGTAGGAAAGTGCCCCCAACCCTGACTACATGGATTTTAATCCTGAAAGGGTTAACCCACCCTCAAGAGAGACCTGAAAATGGGAATAGAAAACAGCTAGCATATGTCTATGAGGTGGAGTGTGAAGCAGGACACACTTAGGAGTGGTAGTGGTGGACTGCTTGCGACTGAGATTCTGCTAAATGGCTGGTGACCTTGCTCATTAGGACCCCTGAGGCAATGGGAACATAACCCTGTTAAGAGACCCTGTTTTTTGCAGCGGATGGGCCAAATCTTTATTTTAAATACCAGAGTTATGGACTATGTTGCTTAATTTCCTAAAGAAGGCTGTTTATGTTTGCATGATATTTGTAGGAAAAATATAGACTACTTTTACTAGCAGTTGGCTGGTGATCGCGGGCTACTCATGTTGCATATACATACACCTTAGTATATGTTTCTCCTGGCACCAGAGATAGGGAGCTGTATGAGGATGCCCACAATTTTGAATGTGATCAAGAATTAGAAAACAGTTGTCATCACCTAAATTTGAAATAAAGTGGTAGTAAACCCCAAACAAACATTTATTATATTGCCCCTTACCAGTTCTTAGATGTGATGGCTGCATTAGTATTCTTTTTAAGGCTATCTTTTGTCTATTGTCACTTGGTGATCTGGCCAGTAAATCTGTTTCTTTTCAAAATAACAAGCTTTCTTACAGATGTATCAGTTACAGGGATGAGACAAACCATTCAACACTGACAGGGGTTCTTACAACGATCAGTTTTATTTGTTTATGAAAAATCTTTATCCCAAAAATTGTTTGCTGTAGCTGCTTATAAAGTATTAGCTGGAGCTTGGTTTTATATTGTTAGTATGTTTAAAACTGCTAGTACAGCTAACACTATTCTCCCCCCAGACCAGGGGTGTCAAACTCAATTTTGTCATGGGCCTCATCAGCATTATGGTTGCCCTCAAAGGGTTGTGTTAAGAGTCCCCATTTAGAACTCAAGAGTCCCCCACATCACAGTGCACCCCCTTACCTTGTGCTGCTGCCGAAGAAGAGACTGGGGGTGGAGCTGGGAAGCAGAAAGTGGAAGGTATGGAGGAGGACCAGAGGAGGGGCTGGAGTCAGCTGCCAGAATCTGCTGAATGCTGAGACCAGGGGAGGCAGAGACAAGGGGATTCTGCAGTGCGGGATCTGTAGGAGGAGTTATGTCCTCCTCTTTGCTGCCAACTGTTGAGACAAGGGGTGGTGCAAAGACAAGCCTTTCCGCTACTACACGGAGAAGTGCAGGAGTTTTGTCCTCTCCTTTTCTGCCAACTGCTGAGGCAAGGTGGGGATGGAGACAAGGGGGGGGGGGTGACAATGGAGAGTTGTTAGGGTCACATGAAATGGTCTGGT